GAAAATAATCTGATCGTCTTTAAACCTTTTTAAAAAATTTTTGGCGCAATCACCAGGTAAATTTAATTTTAAAAAACTTATCGAATTCAACCCCCACTCCTTTATTCCCCTCCCTCCTCCCTCTTCTTTTTTTATTAACTTTATTTTATACATTTTCATTGAATAAATTATCATCATTATTTTAATAAGATTAAATTTTTATTATCAGCAGTGGAAAAAAATAAAAATAAATTTCCATACGTACATCGCATAATATATTATTATTATTATTATTATTATTATTATTATTATTATTATTATTATTATTATCTTTAAATTTTCTTTTTTTACTCCGAAAACAAAAAAAAACTGGAAACTTTATTTTTATTATTTGTCTAAACACGTCAAGTTATAATAATTAATTTACTTAAAAAACAAATTAGGTGGCATCAAAACAAACAAAAACAAAAAAATTTTTTATTGTTGTATGTTCTCCATACAAAGTTTTTCTCTCTCTCTCTCTCTCTCTCTCTCTATTTTTCTCTCTCTCGCTCTCTCGCTGTGTGTGTGTGTGTGTTAATAAAAAAAAATTTTTTTATATTATTTTAAATTTAATTATTAATATTATTATTAACTTTTTTAAACTTTTGAGACGAATAAATAATAAAATACGTTTATATACTCTCCTACGTCATCATCATCATCATTCAAAAACTAAACAAACCCGTTGTTGTTGTTGTTGTTATACGCTTGAGTTATTATTATTATTATTATAAAATAAGAATTTATGTAATACGACGACGACGACGACGACGATTTTTCCATCATACTTACACTTTAAAATGATTCCTTTTATCAGAATCCATTCCAGGTTGTTTTTCATCGATCCCCGGGGAATATAATCTCTCTCTTTCTTTATCTCTCTCCATCTCTCTCTCTCTCTCTCTCTCTTATACTTTTTTATATAAATATATATTTAAATAGGACGGTAGTAACGAAACAGCATAAAAGACAGGAGTCATTTTTACTTTTTTTTTTTTTTCTCTCCATTTTTTAAAATCCTCTTGAAAATTTTTCTTCAAGCGTTGAAATGTACAGAAATCGAAATCCCTCTTTCTTTCTCTCTCTCACTCAAACACAATTAATCGGAAATTATTTCTCTCTCTCTCTCTCTCTTTCTTATTGTTTATTCCTTATAATTTTCAATTTTCTACAAAATTCACCATTTCATCAACCAACCTTTTTTTACGCTTCATTGAATTAGCGTTTGGCGGGGTTTTTTACGCCGCTACGGTTAATATTTCAATTAATTTACATCCTTCTGTTGTGAGAGTATGATATTGTTGTTTATCCTTGTTTGTTACCTGACACAATTTCCTATTTTTTGTTTGTTTTCATCTATTTTCGTACAAACAGAAACCTCTGTGTGTTAATATACCTTCTTCCTTCCTTCCTCCCTCCCCCCATCTTCCTTCTTCTTCACCCACCACATCTTACTATATCGATATCATTGATCTCTATTCCAAAAATCCGTAATAATAATAATAATAATAAAATTAACAAATAATTTTTAATTATTTATCATTTACCCTCTCTCTCTCTTAAAAAAGAGATTTAAAAGAAAATGAAGAGGAAAATTTTTTAAGATTATTAAATTAAAAATCAATAAGCGTTGGAAAATTTGTCAAAAAAAAAAAAAAAAATTTAAAACGATGATGATGATAATAATAATAGTAATAAAAATTGAATATTAATTAAAAGTTAAAATTATTAATCAATGGTTTTTTTTTTTTGATAACATTGATAACGTTATTTATAGAAAGGAGAGAAAATGAGGAAAAAAAAGTGCCATCAATTAGAACGATAAGAGAAAAAAGGAAAATTAGAGAGAGAGAGAGAGAGAGAGAGAGATTTGAATTTTCATTCGAATTTATTTGATATTAAAAAAAAAAAAAATTTTATTTATTCTTCTATTTCGTTTCGAAAAAAGGTTTAAATTAAATTAAATTGAATTAAATACATTAACTAATATATATATATATATATATATATATATATATTTATGTACATAAATAAAAAAAAATCGTTTGAATAATTAATTTAAATACGCGCACGCACGCGCATTCACGCACACACATGTAAAAAACCGGGGAAGAGGAAAAATTATTACTATTATTATTATTATTATTATTAATTGTTTGTTTTCCTGATTGTCACGACAATTTTTAATTATTATTTATTAAAATAGAAAATAAGAAACAAATACAGATGAGATCTCAAATTCAATAAATCATATGTAAATATTTAATAATCTTTCTCTCTCTCTCTCTCTTTCTTCCCTTCTCTCTCTCTTTCTCTTTCTTCCCTTCTCTCTCTTTCTTCCCTTCTCTCTCTCTCTCTTACTTTTCCTTTCTTTCCTTTCGTTTTTATTTTATTTTATTATTATTATTTTTTATTAATTAATTTTAAATATTTAATAAATTTCAAAAAAAAAAAAAAAAAGACTAGATTAATAATATTTAAGGAGTTAAGTAGTTTATTATTATTATTATTATTAATTCATAAAAAAAACCTATTTTATTATTTTCTTATCGGTTTTTATTTTTTCGTTGATCCATCTCAATTAATTTTATATTTTTTATCCTTTTTTGAACTTCCTACTATAACATCTCATACATCATTATCGTTATTATTATCATCATTATTATTATTATTATCTTTCTTTTAGACTATATCGATCAACACGAGTTTTTTTGAAATTTTTTTTTCTTTTTCTTATTTTTATTATTATTACTTTCGAACATGGCAAGGTTCAAATACTTTTCGCTGGCAGGAACAGTTCTGAACCATGCATGGGCCCACTATCGTATGGTTGTACCATTCCTTGACTAGTCCATCCATTTCTTATTCGCGACAGATATTCCAGTGGGAGATATTTACAAATTTTGTTGTGCCTCTTTAGGTACCCATGTTTTGCCAATATCGGACATCGATTGATCACAAATGATTGATTGTTTCCGATTGGCCAATTCAGCACTTGTCTAGGTCTTGGCGGACCTTAAGGATTACCTTAGTCGCAAGGCTTGATCCTGAGGAGTCTTAGCCAATTATGCGTACTCTTCTTATTAACATCTGAAGCATTTACTTCCTTCAAATACTGCCCATGCAACTTTTTCTGTTCCCATTTGCCCTTCAACTTCCCCTGTGATTGAGCCATTCTTCTAGTTAATTTTCTTATCCTTCTTAGCACTTCTTTTTTCGCAAGTTTTTCCTCCATGTGTACTACTTGGTACGCCGCATCCATTTGGCGTAGTCCTCTTCCCCCATCATTCCTACTGACGTACAGCTTATCTACATAAGCTTTTGGATGCAACGCACCATTCATTATCATTATTTTCCACGTTCCTGGGTCCAGATGCGTGATTTCTTCTTTCGTTCAATCCTCACGAGGCTACATTTTATTACTTGGCTATTGTGCCGAGTACATTCATCTTATTTCTTCCATTCACTTCCGACTGTATTATTATTATTATTGAAAATTTTTTATTCTTAAAAGTTTTATTACTTGAATACGACGACGTCTCCATTGTTTTTTCTTTTTTTATAATAAACATATATCTTGTTTCAAAACCATATAAAACAATTTTTATTTCAATAAAAAACATGTCGTCGGTAAAATATAAACGTAAAATGTACATTAAAAATAAAAAATTAATTTTATATGATATGAAATATATATATATATATATATATATATTTTATAACACGCGCACTCACGCACACAAAGTTTATAAAAAAAAAAAAAAACCTTATAAATTTTATCTACTAGTAAAATATTAGTTTGCGTTTTTTCCTACCGAAAAACAACAAAAACAAAATCCCATAAGTTTATTTATTTTTACTTCGTGAAAAATAAATTAAAATAAATGGCGGACAAATAAGAAAATTTATTTTAATTTACTGGAAAATATCAAAATATAATAATAATAATAATAAATTTGAAAAAAAAAAAAATTTTTTTTTTTGCGGCATTTAATGATAACATGATGGAGGGGGGGGGCGAAGGGGGTTGGAGGAGAGAAAAGAAAAAAGGAGGGAAACGAATCGCTCGCGCACGTGTTTGTGTTGATATTAAATAGTTTTTAATGTTTTACACAGATGGCATTGCTGTCCTCATTTTCTGTTATTATTTCCCCCCCCCCACCCCCAACAAATAGTTATTATTTTTAACCGATTTAAATAAAAAATACGATTCCCTTTTTAATTAAATTTTTTATAAAGAAAATTTTTATTTATATATAATAATTTGTTAAATTCCATCATCGATATTGTTGGTGACTTTAATGTTTCCCTTCGTGTTGTTCTATACTCTTAATTACCTAACCTCCTTGAGTAAGGTTTCATGATGACAAAAAAGGTTTGTTACTCATTTCACGAATAGTACCAGATAACCGGTAACCTTCACTGTCGCCCACACAACCCATAAGATGTCTAAAAACGACACGAGGGGTGTCCAACTTTCTTTAAATAGAAAAAACTCATTGTTATTATTATTATTTTTTCCATAAAATGAATGAATAACCTATATTTGTAAACAAACAACATAATAATAATAATAATGATGATGATAAGTTTTTAAAAGGGCCTTATTTTAAAAAATAAACAGTTGGTAACAGTGGTTCTTTCAATGTGTTCATAAATAATATAAATATTATCTCACGGAATCAAAACAATAATAATAATAATATTTTTTTTTTTTTGTAATTTGTATTTAATAAAATAATAATATAATAATAATAATAAAAATAATAATAAATATTTTTTTATATTTGTTTTTTTTTTTTCAGATAGTATATTTCAATGATTTCCGAAGAAAAACGAAAGGAGGAAAAACAAAAAAAAAAATTTAAATTTAAAATTTTTTTATAAAAAAAAAAATAAATGGAAACGTAAACAAAAAAAAATTAAAAAAAAAAAAAAAAGCCATGGATCTGTCCGGAGAAGATTTCGATAATAATTCAATGGGTTCAATTGTAGAAGTTTTCAATGTTGAATTTACTTCGCGGTGTCCTCCGGAAAATGCCTCGTATCCAAGTTTTTTAGGCGTAGATTTAGCCCTACCTGAAATAGAAGCCATAATAACTTTAATTTTGCTGGTCGCGTTAACTATATTTATGATATTAGGAAACATTTTTGTGATATTAAGCGTTCTTTTATATCAACCTCTTCGGACCGTACAAAATTTTTTTATTATATCATTAGCCATGTCGGATTTGATGGTCGCCATATTGGTACTTCCGATAAACTTAGTTTATTTCTTACTCGGTAAATGGTTGTTCGGTATTGTTATATGTAAAATGTGGTTAACTATGGACGTTCTTCTTTGCACGGCGAGCATATTAAATCTTTGCGCTATAGCTCTAGATAGATATTGGGCAATAACAGATCCAATTAATTACGCATTGAAAAGAACAATGCGTAGAGTTTTGTTTATGATATCCGGGGTTTGGTTGATATCCGCCCTTATAAGTTCACCTCCGTTACTAGGATGGAACGATTGGCCGGATAATTTTCACGATAAAACACCGTGCCAACTCACGGAAAAACACGGTTACGTTATTTACAGTTCACTCGGTTCTTTTTACGTACCATTATTTATAATGGGTTCAGTTTACATTGAAATATTCATAGCAACGAGAAAAAGAATAAGAGGAAGATATCAGCGAACCACAAATTTAATGAAATTGACTCAGGAACCAAGTCATTTAAACACGAATCAAACACCGAGTGATGTAAAATTGAATCAGAACACATCGAGTAATGAAAAAATGGTTCAAACCCCGAGTAAAATAAAACCGAGTAAAAAACCAGTTAAAATAAAAATGAACATAGGAATTCAAACGGAAACCGGAAGCAGTGAAAATATTGATAATGATAAAACAGTAAAAAAACAAATAAAAATAAATAAAACAGTTGATGAGAAAAGTAATGTATCAGTTTTACCCGATGACTCAAAAAAGTCATTTGATGCGCAAGAAGGTTCATCGGAAACACACAAAAATATGGTTAATAGTACAGAATTACACAATGAAGATAATAAAATAAAAAAAACCGTTAAAATTCATTTCCATATGGATCATTTCATTGAAGAAAAACAAAGGATTTCAATTTCAAAAGAAAAAAAAGCTGCTAGAACTTTGGGCATTGTTATGGGTGTTTTCGTCATTTGTTGGCTACCTTTTTTCATTATGTACATGATTTTAGCTTTTTGCGAAGTCTGTTGTGTCTCATTTAGATTTAGATCATTCATTACGTGGCTCGGTTACGTTAATTCAGCAGTTAATCCAATTATATACACTATATTTAATAGGGATTTTAGAAAAGCATTTAAAAAATTATTGGGAATGAAACATTATTAAATTTATTATCATTAATATTTATCAATATCTGTTATTTCATATATATATATATATATATATGTATACGTATTGTTGTGATGACTCCGATTGTTTATCAATAATAATAATAATAATAATATAGTAATAATAGTAATACATTATTTATTGTCTTTTATTCATTTATTTATTAAGTGTCGTAGTGCTTTTTTTATTTATCTAAATCATCATCATTATTATTTTTCTCTTAATAATTGTTGCTGCTTTTAATTAAAAAAAAAAAATTATTAATTATTATTATTAATAATGTTTAAAAAAATATATATATATAAATTATCGATTAATTAATAATAATAATAATTAAATATTTATTAAATTAATATTAGTAATAATAATAGTAATGATTGTTAATATAAATTTTCTTTCTCTCTCTCTCTTCCTCCCTCCCTCCCCCGCACCTCCCTCCTTCTTTTTATTATCGTTATTAATGTAAAAATTAAATTTATTTATTTATTTCATAAGAAAAAAAATATCGATTATGTAATTGCAATAATAATAATAATAATAATAATAATAATAATAATAATAATAATAAACTCTCAACTTTATAAAAATTTTAACTTGAATTTTCATTTAGTGTATAATAATAATAATAATAATAATAAAAAGCAAAAAAAAAAAAAAATTTCTAATTAAAAGTTTTAAAGTAGAATTGAAAATTACTTTTTTTCCTTTTATTTATTTGTTCGCGTTAATAATAATGTAAAAAAAAGGCAACAAAAGAGGGGGGAGAAGGAGGAGAAAGAGGAGGAGGATATAAAAAAAAAGCACGGTAAAAATTTTGAGGGGGGGAGGTGGGAGTTGGTAATAAAAAAAAGGAAGAAGGGAAAAAGAACGAACCTCGATTTGAATAAAATTTTTTTTTTCTTTGATTTTTTATCGATTTTTTTTTTTATTAAAAATAAATTTAAATTAAATTAGAATTTAAATTTAAATTAAAAATATATATTCAATGTATATTTATTTATTTATGTATGTATGTATACATTAATTTTTTTTTCTTTCTTTTATATTTAATTAAAAAAAAGAAAAAAGTTTTTTTATTAACTATTTTTTTTTATTATTTATGTATTTATTTAAGGAAAATAAATAAAATAAAATAATTTTTTTTTTTATTTAATAATATTATTATTATTAATAATAATTTTAATGAATAAAATTAAAATGATATTAACAATTTCATTTTTTTTTTTTGTTGTAAAATAAAAACAAATAAATAAATATTATAACCGTTAATGTAACGATTACTCAATTATATTTATAATTAATAATAATAATAATAATAATAATAATAAAAATAATAATAATAATAATAAAAATAATAATAATAATAATAATAATAATAAAATTTTATATATTTATTAAATAAGGACAGAATGACGACGACGACGCGTTTTTTTTAAATCTTTTTTTCTTTTCAAATTCAAAAAAAAAAAAAGAAAAAAAAGGAAAAAAATTTTTTTTCGTTATTAAATATGGTGGTCAAACGGTGCTTTCGATTTTAGATATTATCGGTGACCTTTCCGGATCTTCTTCTTCTTCTTCTTCTATAAATGAATTTTTTATTTTGACCCCCCCAGATGATGATAGAGGAGGAGGATGAGGTTCAATTGGCATTTCCGTAAAACATTTTTGTTGTTGTTGAGATGATGAATATGTTCTTATCCAATGATTTTGAGGCACCGGACAACCTTTTACACCGTACGACAACCTATCAATCTATTTTAAGTAAAAAATTATTTTATTTATTTATTTTTTTTATCACACCATCACTGATAAGAATAATCTTTTATATATAATTACGGGAGTTGTCTGATGATGTGATGATATTTCTCTTAATTGAACTCTATTTATCAATGTGTTGTTGTACCCGTGTGTATTATTTGACTCCGTACCTGAACAGGAAGCTGTAAGGAGGCCTCTATTAGGAGAAGGAGTTTCGATTGTTGATATGCATTGTCTTTTTGTATTGATAAAATTTTCTGTATTTTCTTCCGGGACTGAAATCACAAAAAAAAGCGTGAGAAAAAATGAGAGGGGAAGGGGGGAGAGAGATAGAGAGAAATAAAAAGAGAAAAAAATTTAAACCCGTGTTTGAAAGAGGTATGACGTCGGGATTTTTTTCGTCGCTGTCTCCTGGTCCATTTTGATCTAATTTAAAATTAAGAGATACGTTTGATTGATGACAAATTTTATGTTTTTTTCTTCTTCTCGCTCTGTAACATTGAATTCGAAGTACCAAAACGATGGCAATGGCAACCAAAAGAAAAGCACCACCGATAATCGATACAACAGTCATTAATGGAGTCATTTGTATAACGGATTTTTGACTTTCTAAAACCAAAAAAAAAAAAGAAGAATTTATTTTATGATGAAACTTATGTCGAGATCAAACAAACAAACAAACAAACAACCTCTTTCCAACGTTAATTGTTTTTCTGGTAAACGTAACGTTGATGCTTGAAGAACCATTGGTTCGCTTCTTCCTTTCGGGTTAAATGCGGATATTAACACGTGATATTGTATTCCAGATTCTAAATTTTCAACTATAAATCTTGGAACTGGAGATGTTGTATTTATTGTTATTTCTTGAGTTGTCGTTTTTAATACTTCTAAAAGAAAGGATTGCGGTAGGCCACCGTTGAAACCTTCCGTGCATTTAATTAAAAACGATGCCAATGAAATGTTAAAAACTGAACAGTTGCTCACTGAATCCGGCCGACCTGTGGGTGTGTGTGTGCGAGACAGAAATTTTTTTTAAATGTAAAAACATTATGTTCTCTTGTTAACAATGAAAAAACAATCGGGATATATACTAACCCGCCGCAATTATATGGAAGACACAGGGAACTTTTTGGTCGCCGATTGAATTTTTAGCCCAACAAAGAAGCGTGCCATAATCCATTTCCGTTCTCGGAGTATATGAAACAATTGAAAGTGTTCCGGATTTTGTTATGTGTGACGATGCCACGTCGATACTTTCCGCAGAATTATTAAACAACCATCTAAATGTCACGTCAGACGGATTAGCTTCTACTGCGCAAGAAATGCTCGCCTTTTCGGATTTCGCAATACCGTGAACTCTTATTTGATTTGGTTTACACGTAGGAGCATCTAAAAAAATCCAATTCGAACCTCGTGTAAAACTATTAATAATAATAATAATCCATTATTTTATATTATAAAATTTACATAATATATTTAAATCAAAAGGATCGCTTTCGCTTTCTCCTTCCGAATTATAACCCAAACAAGAATAATTTCCACCGCTTGAACGACTAACACTTTGAAGTACCAAAGATTGATTGCTTATTATTATACCTCTTGCAATGTTATGATTAAGTTGTCGACCCTGATAAACGACACAAAAAAAAAAAATTTAATTCAATTTGTGTTGTTCCAAAAATTTATTAAATAAATGAACTCACGTTATGTTTCCATTCGACTTTATAAACTGATGGTTCGGCTGTTATGAAACAATCGAAATAAACATCGGAACCTTCTCGAATCGTATTTTTATTTAATGATTTACCTAATTCGATACGACATTCTGGAAGATCTGTCCATATTAAAAATAAATATCATTAATCCAAAATTAATTTAAAAAAAAAAAAAGGAAAAAAGGAAAAACCGTTACATTGTATTTTTAATTTCCAGGTACTTTCTAATTCTTCGCCCATTATGAGTGAATTTTCCGAACGACATGATAAGTACTTATCAGCATCAGTTTTCGAAGCAACAAATGATAAGGTACTCGTCGTCGTGTTTCCATCCTCCGATATCTTATCACGTAAACAAATTAATAATAATAATATTTAAAAATTAAATTTTTTCTCTCATCCTTTTGATGTTTTTTTTTTCCTTTAATAATAATAATAATACTTACCGTTTCTTTTGCTTTATCCAACCTTTGACCGTTTATCCACCATGTTATAGTTGCCGGTGGTCTCGAACCGGATGATTGACAAAGTAAATCGTATCGTCTTCCAGCAGACAAAGGTTGCATGGAACCCAATATTTCAACGTTTAACGGTGGAACTATAAACAAAAAAAAAAAATCAATATTATCAATAATTTATTATTATTATTATTACTATCCTTTAATTTAATAATAATATTTCTCAAAGGAAATTTTCAATAAATAATAATAATAATAATAAAATACCGCGCGCTTGTGTGTGTGTATCGGATTAAAAAACAAAAAAAATTTTTTCCACGAGGTTTTTTTTTTTTTATATCATAACATAATTTTAATAAATTTTTTCGAAACCGTAACAAAAAAAAAAAAAGTGAAAAGGTCAAAAAAAAAAAAACGGGGACGTTTGAAGGAGGGGAAGGGGGGAGGGGAGGGGAAAAAGATAATAAAAAAGTTATATTCAAAAAAAAGAAAAACTATAAAATATAGCTTTTTTGTGGGAGAAAAAAAAATTTAGTCTCATAACACATAATGCAAAAATGAATGTCACACTTTGGTTAAATTTATATTCTTTTTTTTTTTTTAAAAAAAGGAACGGAGAAAAAGGAATGGAAAAAAAGGAACGAAGAAAAAGAAATGGAAAATAAATAAAAAAAAAAAAAAACCTTTTTTCAACCTTTTACTTTCACATTCTTTTACTATGACTTTTTTTTGTATTAAATGAATTGTTACGAGTAAACATTATATTTTATTATTATTATTATTATTATTATCATAACGGTTGGTTTTATACAATTTTTTTGTTATTGTTGATGATGATGATGATGATGATTTGTCGTGATTGTTTAATAATAATAAAAAAGAATGAAATAAAAGAAAAACTTACAATTCATGTCGATGTGGACGGTTGTTGTTAACGGTTGCGTTTTGTTGTTGTTTGTTGCAACGCACGTGAGTTGAGAATTTAAATCTTTCCTTTGTAAATTTTTTATTATTATTTCCGATCGGATTTTCGTACCGGATGTATAAGAAATCATTTTTCCTAATTTTATTTTTCCCCTGTACCAATTCACCGTAGGTTTAGGTTTTCCTATTAACAAAAAAAAATATCATTATTATCATCACGTTACATTCTAGAATGTTATAGAAAGAAAAAAATTAAACAATTAAAATTTATGAGTTTTATTTGAGTTTCAGTCTAAATAGGTCTCAAGATTGTAGTTAATCAAATAGGGAAAAACATGGACACATCCCCGGAAGTCCTATTAAACATTTACTTAACTTACTTATTGTCGACAATATTTTATTATTATTATTATTACAATGGCATTTTTTTTTTGTGAAATATTTTCTCTTCTTTTTCCACGTCGTTTTATTATTATTATTATTTTCTTTTGATCGTAAGTCCCGTGTAAACTTTTTTTAAAATTTTTCAAATTTTTTTTTTTTTTTATCATCATTCCAGTTCGTCTGGAGAGACAGAAAGAAAAAATTCTGGAAAATGTTTTCCATATTTTTCTTATGTTTTCTTTTTGTAGAATGTGTATGTGACCTTCTTGATATGAGTCCCAATGCAATACTATTATTATTTTAAAAACTTGAAGGGAAAATCATTTTCGTTTTTCTCCATTATTATTTAAATTTAAAAATTTTGCGGTATTTAAATCTTCTTATTTTTCTCAACAAAATTTTATTTTTCCAGGTTCAAAAAAAAAGAAAAACTCAAAGTATTTATTTACTTGTCTGTCATCTTTTTAAGATTAAAATTCTTTTTATAAAAAAAAAAAATTCTCTCTCGAGGTTATTTTTTTTTTTTTGTTTTGACACATTTTTCAAGTCCTAATATCATTTTGATGTAACTCAACAAAAAAAAAAAAAATTTTTATGATTAATAGTATTTTTTCATCGATTCTTTTTTTTTTTTCGATAGAACGTTCGAGAACAAATTCACGTATAAATACATTTTCGACATATATATTACGTAAACTTTAATCGTTTTTAAACACACAAAATTTAAAGTTAGGAGGGAAAAAAAAAATTGTAACAGTTTATTATTCATATATTTTTTTTTTTTTTTTAAATAAAATTAATTTTAATTTAGTGAATTGAAAGTTAAACGAGAAGGGGAGGGGAGTGAATCTCCTACCCCTTCACCCCGGGGGGTTCTTTACCTGAGGAAACAAATTCAAATGGTTTTTATGTAGGAGAAAACTTTTACCAAAGTAATTAAAATTTTACTTTAATTTTCGAGACCTTGCCTTCGAGTCTTTCAATAAACTTTTTTTTTTTAAAAAGAAAAAAAGGTTAAATTTTTTTTAATTTCGAACACGTCCCCCCCCATTCTCTCTCTCTCCCCCTACCCCCGAGGTAAATTTGAATGAAACGCTTTTAATTTAATATTAAAAAAAAAAAAAATTTCTTTTTCGTGAGGTGACGACGACAATGAGAAAGAGAGAAACAGAGACAGGGGGGAGGAGTTCAGCCGGAAGTGGTGGTGGTGGTTGTGTACTACTCTAATTCAACTACTTGGAGGAGGCTAGATATAAAGGATGTTTTAAGGGTGGGGATTCTGGGGTTGGATTTTCCACGTTGACTAGGCGTCCGCTAGAGGTAAATCTTCAACTAGGATGCCTTGGAGGAGCCCGAGGTAGCCAGGTTCGAGGGGGTGAAACTGGGTACTTGATCCAAATAGGAAAAATGCGGAGTTGTGAGATAAAAGAAGACAGATGATAAATTAATGGGATTCGCGATCCGCGACATCTTCAGGCAGGAACCATGGTAACAGATCGAGAATGTCTCTGGAAGGGTAAAAAGATGAAGTACTTCCTACTAAGGGGTCTTCCTCAGGTGGGATTCCCACTTTGGCGAGTGTGGACTTGATGGTTTTGGCTCAGGAAGGGGTTGAGGCTGAAATGCGACCGATTCTCCCTCCAGGAAAAAGAGCACGTCCAGGAGTATTAGTTGGGTATTTGCTTCGGTTGAGTCCCCCACATTCTTCCTGCTACCGAGTGGTTAGTGCAAAATGCATTTCTCCTGGGTTAATAAAAAATAAAGAAGGGGGGAGAAACGTTGATAACAATTTAAAATTATTTTCTTTTTGTTATCACATGACCGATAAAGAATTTTGATAAGAACAAAAACAAAAAAATAATTTTTGTTTACCATCATGTACGTCACATTTTAAATTCAAATCGTTTCCTTCCAAATACGGACCGACCGTTGATGTTTTAACCGCATCATTTTCATCCAATATGACTATTTTTTGCGGTGGAACTAAAACAAACAAACAAACAAACAAACAAACAAACAAACAATAATAATAATGATTAAAACAAAATGTAGCGTCTAAAAAAAAAAAAATTTTAAAGGTTAAAAAAAATAAAATAAAATTCAAAAACCGAAGAAAATTAAATAAAAGAAAAACCTCGAGATGAATAATAAATTTATTTTTTTTTTATTTAATAAAAAATAAATAAATAAATATTAAATTTTATATTATTGAAAATAAATAAATAAATAAAAAATGTGTGAAAAAATCACGATTCTCAAGAAAATGAAAAGAAAGGAAAAAAGGAAAAAAATCATAATCATCAAAATCATGATTTTTCTTCATTTTTCCCTCCTTATTTATTTATTTATTAAAAAAAGAAAGTTGATTATTAATTATTAAACATTAATAAATTTAAATAAAAAAAAAACTTTTTGAAAAACTTTTAAAAACTTTTTTTTTTCCCTTTTTTTTTCTTTTTCATAAAAAAAAAAAAGTAAAAAAATTTTAATTTTCCACTTTTATGATGTTATTAAAAAAAAATTATTTATTTATTTATTAATAAATGATAAAAATAATAATTATAATGATGATGATAATGTTTATACATTTAAGAATAAATAAATAAAAAAAAATTGTTTTTTTTTTTTTAATATTTCAATGTTGGCAAAATTGAAAGAAGGTTATATAAAATAAAAATGAACCTTTTTTTTTTGTTAACAAAATGGTTCCTTAATGTAATTAAAAACTTTTTTTTTCCTCCCGTTTTTTTTCCTTTTTTTCCTTTTTTCCTTTTTTTTCCTTTTTTTCTTTTTTATCTTGTTTTCATTCAAATTAAACGAACCAACGAATTTTTTTTTTATTTTTGTTTATCATATTAATTTTACTCATTTTTTCTTTTTTGTTTTTATTCGTTTCGAATTTTTAAAAAATCCGACATTTTGTTTTAATAATAATTAATAAAAATTTCTCTCTTTTTTTTTTTTGATTTTCGTGACGTCATCATCATCATTATTCGTATTCAAACACGTGTAAAAAAATTAATATTATTATTATTATTTTTTCCTACATAGATGAATAATAAATTAACCTTTTTTTTTTTTTTTAATTTACTTTGTCGTTTTGAAGCTTAAAATGTTTAATTTAATTTCAGTTGATTCCGACAAAAGGAAAAAAAGGGGTAGAAGGGAGGGAAGTGACAGGAGGAGGAAGAGTAGGGGGGTCGGAGGAAAATTTTTTTAACGGTCGTTTTTTTAACGAAAATTTTTTTCGCGACGATCTTTAAACGGTTATCGATAAAAAAGTTTTTTTTTTTAATTACATTAAGGGGAAAAAAACGTGATCGCGTTTTAACACTCGATTAATATTTTAAATGATTATTACGTCATTATGGAAAACTGGAAAATAATTTACAAAACGTTCATTATGGAGCAAAAAAAAAAAAAACTCCAGCGACTGACTCCAGCATAAAAATAAGTTCTCTTTTTTTTTTGTTGAAACCATTAAACCGGAATAAAACGTGTGAAATTTGTTGTCACGATTATTATGCTTCTTTCAAACAAACAAACAAACAAAAAAAAAAGAAGTAATAATAATAACAATAATAATAAAATAGCTCAACAAGTATATTTCTCCAGAGAGAGAGGGGAGGAGGGAAAGAAAGAAATTTGATTCCACCCTTGAATGACTCGGAAAAAACAAATTTTAAAAATAAATTATTACGTCCGCATTTTCTTTTTTTTTTTTTTTTTTTTACGGCCTTCAACAAACAAACAACGTAAAATGCAATTTTAAAACTTCTGGAAAAAAAATTGCAAATGTTGCGTTTTAAACAAAAAAAAAAAAAAACTGGAGTGTTTGTTTCTTTATTTGTTTCCTTGTTTGTTTGTTTCCTTTAAGGAAATTTACCTTAAGGAAGGTAATTTTTACAACGTAGTCTATCAATCATTCGCATGAAACGAAAAGAAAACCGGATAAAGTAACAACAAGAAGAAAAATATAAAAAAAGGGAGGTGGGAGGGGGCAGCAGTAAATTACAAAAACTTTTTTAAAAAAAGGAAAAAAACGGAAACGATTTCAATTATAATAGGAGCTTCGGGAGCCATTTCAAATCAACTTTGGAGAAAAAAAAATACAAAAATCCTGGAGAAAAAAAAAGAAAACAGCAGAAACATCAACAGCAACAACCAAAAGGCGCGTTTGTTTCCTTTTTTAAGGCGCGATTTAAATTTTTAATATTTAAAAAAAAACCTGAAAAAATCTGCGGGGGTTTCCCTTACGAAAAGAAGAAAAAATGCGAAAAAAAAAATTCAAAATTTTTTTTTTTTTACGTTCGCGAATAATAATGATAATGATTCGTCACCTAAAATCTATATTTATAATTTTCCCATCCTCTCTCTCTCTCCCCTCCCTTTCGCTCCTCTCCCCGTCAATTTTTTCCATATAAAAAAAAAAAAAAAAAAAAAAAGAATTTACAGTCGATTAAACTTTTGTATTTTTTCATGCATAAAAATTTAAAAAAAAAAAAAAAAATATCTAAATTAAGTTTTTCCTCTCTCTCTCTCTCTTCCCCTGGTCCCCCCTCTCTCTCTCTCTAAAAAGAAAATAAAATGAGAGGAGAGGAGGGTTGGGTAGGGTACGGAAAAAAAATTAAATAATAACAATAATAATAAAATTTACATATATGGTTCAAATAATTTGTTTACGCGCGCGTTTCACCCACGTGTCCACCGTTCACGTGCGTTTCACGCACACGTGATCCATCCATGTGGGCGGTATCGATAAAAAAAAAATCTTTTTTTTTTTTTTTTCCTATTTAAACGTAAACGTAGATTATGTTTATGTATTTTGATCAGATGTCGTCGAAACTTTAAAAAATTGTTCAAGTGAAAAATTAATTTTTCACGACGACCTTTTCAAACTTTTTTTTTTGCAAAAAAAAAAAAAACTTTTCATGAGTTGGAAAAAAAAAACTTAATAATAATAATAATAATGATAATGATAATAAAATTTTAAAATGTTTTTTTTTTTCGTTAAAAAAAAAGATTTTATGTTATATTGATTTTATTTAACTAAATGATTTTTTTTTTTTTTAAATTTTTTTTTTCTAGCAGACAAATTTTCCTTTTTTTTTCATTTCCTTTCCTTTCCTTTGTTTTGGGAATGCAAAAAAAAAAAAAACTAAAAAAGAAAAGAAAAGAAAAGAAGAGAAGAGAAAAGAAGAGAAAAAAAAAAGTTTCTGCGAATTTCAAGAGTGTGTGGGGGTGTGTTTTGGTTGGCTGACTTTTTTTTACTTCCTTTAAAGCAAAAAATTATTATTATTATTATTATTATTTTTTCATACCCCCCCACGAAAAATAATTTATGTATACGTTTCAAATAAATAAAAATTTATTAAAAATGAAATTTTCTTTTTTTTTTTTTTTCTTCCCGGGTTAAAATTTTTTTCATGTTACAAAAAAAAAAAAGTTTTTATATGACGGCAGGACTTTGATCACTTTTTCCTTTCAACTTAATAGCCTTTTTTTTTTTTAATAAAAATATAATAATAGTAATAATAATAATGGCCATTAAAAAAAATTTTTAAAGAGTTCAATAATAATAATAATTAATGGAAAACTTTTTTTTTTTTTTATATACAATTTTCCGACGCACATAAAAATAAATTTAAAAAAATTTTTTTTATTAACGTATTTCAATTCACGTTCAAATTATTTATTATTATTATTATTATTATTATTATTATTATCATCATCATTATTATTATTATTTATTAAAAAAAACAATAAATAATATAAAAACGAATGAATGAATGAATGAATGATATGCGAGCGAGCGAGTGAGTGACGCGAATTTTTTATTTCATTTTTTTCCTCATTTATTTCTTTGTGTTTTTTATTATTAATTATTTATATTTATATTTTATTTAATTAATAAATGATTTATTAAAGAAGAATAAATACACACACACATAAAATTTTATTATTAATAATAATAATAATACCGCACGAATGAAGAATAAAAAAAAAAAATTTTTTTTTAAATATGTATATTTGACAAAACAACTCACTCGTCCCCGACATTTTATTAAAAAAAAACACGAATATTCTTTTTATTCTTGTTAAAAATAATAATAATAATAATTATGTACATATATGTACGTCATTTAATTAAAATAATTTATGTATATTTACGTATCCGTTTTTACAATGGGGGAAGAAAAAAAAAATTTTTATTTTTATATTAATTAAAAATTCATTCATTCATTCATTTCATTCGCACTTTTTGTTTTTATTTATTATTATTATTATCATTTGTAAAAACAATTGTTTTGTAAAAAAAAAAAAAAAAGAAGAAGAAAAGAAAGCAAAAAGTTTTGTTTTTATTCAATAAAAATAATAATAATAATAAGCTTAAACAAATTATTTGTTTTAAATTTTTAGAAAAAAAAATTAATTATAACTTTTATTTAGTTTTCAAGTTTTTTTTTTCTTCAAAATGGAGGATAAGAAGAAGTATTTTCTTTATTATTATTATTATTATAAATAATTAAAAAAAAAAAGAAAAAAGAAAAAGAAAACTCACCGATGACAGTTAAATTTACTTTTGTATTACGAGTTTGAGCCTTACGAAAATCAACTCGACATCTATATATACCAGAATCAGATTCTCTCACGTGATCTACACCTAATTCGGCAGGAAGTTTTTCAGGCATGAAATAGGCTCTATTGGCAAATCCATTGTCTGCAGACCATCTATCAGCTTGAAGAATGGACCGATCTCTTGTATCTATTCTAAAAAACAGGAAATTAAAATCGTTAAAAACAAAAAAAAAAAAAAAAAAAAAACGCAACACATTACTTTTCTTTCCTTCTTTTCTATTTAATTCTTATTTTTCTCTCTCTCTCTCTCTCTCTTTCTCTCTCTCTCTCTCTCCCTATCTCTCTCTTTCTTTCTTTTCGTAAAATTTATTTAACTACGAAACATTCTTTTGGGAATCCGGGATGAAATTTCAAACCTTACCGAAATAATAATTTCTTCTGATTTATTTTATTTTTTTTTTTTACCAAACAAACAACAAAAATTTTTAGTCATCGTCACATTATTTATTATAGTTATCGCACGCGCATGCGCGCACACACCTACAAACAAACACACAAACACAATTTAAAAAAAAAACAAAACAAATAATTTTCTGTAAATTTATATACCGTACACTGATGTAATCTGTATAAATCAGTTTTAAAAAATAAATAAATTCAAAAATAAAGTTTTCGCTCCACCTCATTTACATTAAAAAAAAAAAATAACAAACGAAACAATAAATCTTTCGTTCGAGAGAAACGAGAAAAAAAACAAACTTTTCCACCCCCCCCACCCCTCCTCATTCTCCTCTCCTATCACGCACACACGCACTATCACGACGAAGTGATTACATTCCGGTAATTTTTGTCAATTTTTAACGTGTAAAATAAAATTTCAAACCGACACCGTTTCCACCTTCACCCCCCAACTCCCCAACCCCCCCCCCCATCACATTCGATTCGACATCTTCATATTTAATAAAATCAAAGGAAGCGGAAGAAGAAGAAGAAGAAAAAGAGAAAACAAAATTTTTTTCCACATTTTCAAATTATATATATAAATTTTTAAATTGATAATAATGATAATAATAATAAGAAGAAATAATAATAATAATAAAGGAATGCCCTGTAAAATATTGATTTTCATTATCATTATCATCGTGAAAGAGAATTTTGGTCCGAATTCTTGGATAGAATATCCACAGTTTCAATTTTTGTTTTGTTAATCTAAGAATCATTTAAGTCAGATTTCAAAATTCAAAAACGGGAGAATTAAATCATAATGATAATAATAATGATAATAATGATGATGATGATAATTAAATAATAATGTTTCGTAATAGTTAACTTACGTGTAAATCGGAGTTCCTAAATCTTCTCTGTACCACAAAACAATGACCACAGCATCTCCTTCTTCTGATGTTGATATATTACAGGGCATGTAAACGGGATCCCCTTGAACAGCCGTCACGTGATATATTGGAACTGAAATATTATAATAATAACTATTATTATTATTATCATTACGCGTCAGAAAAATTAAAAAAAAAAACTCGATTAATTCACACTTAAAATAAAAAATTTTATCCGGGAGATTAAGTGAAGGATTATCTGTCGGATTAACTTAAATTAAATGTTAAATCAAAAAGGAAATATAATAGTAATAATAATAATAATAATTTCGGGAATTCATTTAACATGAAGTTTTTTTTTTTTTCGACACTATTTCTCTCTTTCACACATGCACGCACGCACTCACTCACGCACTCTCGCACACGCGCTTTCTCTCTTTCTCTTTCTCTCTCTCTCTTTTTCTCTTTTGTATAATACTTTCTTTTGAAATTTCAATAGAAAAGGGAATAAGGTTAGACAACAACGCGAAAACTATCAAACTATTATTATTTTATCTTTTAACCAAAATGAAAATTCTAATAAAATTTTCACACCGCGAGAAAATTCTTCTTTCTTTTCTCCCCCTTTTTTTTTTTAATTTTCTCTCTTTGTTTCCATTTATTTTTTATTTTTTTTCTATCTGTGATTTCCATTCGTTTTCTTTTCCCCTCACCCTCCCTACCTCTCACTATCTATCTACCAGCTTTTAAAATGTAAATCCCGAAGGAAGGTTTATTTTATTTATCCCGAATAAAACTCATCATCATCATCATCATCTTCATCATAATCATTATTACGCGAATGAGAAATGATGTGAGAAAAATTTTTTGTCTCATCAAGCATGAAACGCGTCATATTAAAATAACTTTTCTTATCGCGACTAGTAGAATAAAAAAAAAATCAAAATGGCGGCAAATTTATGACGTATGCGTTACGTAATGAAAATAATAATAATAATAATTAAAATTTAATTAAAGGGAAAATGGTTTTTGTTCTTTGTTTTAAAAGTAAAAGTAAAAAGTTTAATTTAAGTTTATTACTACTAAATAATTAATGAATGAATGAATGAATGAATAAATAAACAACAAAAACAACAACGACGACGACGACGTCCACCATATTTATTAAAACAGGTAAGTAAGTAAATAAATAAAGTTAATAAATGTTAAAAATTCTTTGTGTGTGTGTGCGTGCGTGCGCGTGTGTTAACAATAATAAAAAAAAGGAAATTTTTTCGTCAATGGAGTCGGTATGAAAAGAAGAAAATTTAAAAAATTTTCTTCTTTTGATTTATCGTCTCTAATATTCACGTTTTTGCCGCCGATTCCGCCATCGCTACCTCCGCCATCGTCACCCCCGCCACCGCCGATGCCACCGCCATTAAAATTAACTCTAGTCTAAAAAATGTTTTTTTCTTCTTCTTCCTACTAAATTTTAACAAATTTTCTCCCTATTTAAAACAATTTTTTTTTCTTTTTATTACTCCGACATTTTGATTATCAAAATTTTAACCGTCAAAAAAACGTAAAAATCATTTTTTTTTTTAATAAATAATAATAATAATAATAATAATAATAATAATAATAATAATAATAATAATAATAATAATAATAATAATAATAATAATAATAATAATAATAATAAATTATTTATTACCGCGAGTTATAAATTTTTTTATTATTTAATATTATAAGTAATAAAAAAAAATAATAATAATAATTAATTAGCAACGAGGCTTCCTCTCACATAAAAAAATTTTTTTTTTTTTGGCGACAATTTTGTCGCCATTTTGAACCGATAATTGTTCAGTCTTGTTGTATATTTATAAATAATTTCTAAATTTTTCCAATACGAGGAAACCTTTGGGGGGAAAAATAATAATAATAAAATTTATACGTAATTAATTGATCGCAAACTGGAATTCGATACTGGAACCCCCTCAAAAAAGAAAAATTTTATCGGTGATCGTGTTAAAATATCTCCAAACAGAATTTGATTAATTATTATTCCAGAATTTACAAACAAACGAAAAAAATGGCTCCAGTCACTAATTAAAGAGAGGAAAAAAAAGAAACAAAATGTGTGTTGAAAATAAAAATCATTCGTAAATAATAATTTATTTATTTATTTCTCCAGAAAAAACTTATTTGTTCCAGAAGAAAAAAAAAACAGTTTTAAGGACATTAAAAAGAAAATCTATCTATCTATCTCTTTCTCTCTTTTCTCAATTTAAAAAAAAGAAGGGAAAGTTTTTTTTTTTTTTTTTTACTTTCCAGGATTAAAAAAAAAAAAAAGGAAAAAAAAAGGGAGAGAAAAAAAAGATTTTCTTTTTCCAGGATACCTACAAATATTCTAATCCTTTTCTCCTGTTTTGAATTTGAATCTTTTAATCATTTCGCATGTAATTTTTTTTTGGAAAAATATTTTCCACCTTTTTTCCAAAAAGAAAAAAAAAGGGATGAATATTTCAGGAAATATTTTTCTCTCTCTCTCTCTCTCTTCTGGAAAGAGAGAAAGAAAAAAAAAATTTTTTTTTTAAATATAAACGAGAGAAAATTTTAACTAACTATTAACGTTGTAAAATTTGATTTTTTATTTTTCATTTTTTTTTTTTTTCATTTTTTAGTAAATTAGGGTCCGACATAAAATTATTATTATTATTATTATTATTATTTAGTTTTTGATAAACGGTTCCATCCGTCCGTCCGTCCGTTCGTCCGTTTATTCGTTCGTTCGTTCGTTCGTTTGCCGCCATCTTGTTACAAATCATTTATTCATGATTTTGGTTGCGGTCTTCTGAGCACGAATTTCCTCTTGTTATATTTCTTTACAAATTAATATATAAGTAGACATTTTTTTTTTCCTTTTTTTCTTTTTTTAGTAATTATTTAATATTTAAATGTGAATTTTTAAATTTTAAACGTGACGTCAGAGATAAAGACGATGGATCCATCGATCGATCGATTTTTTTCCTAAATAAATACTTTTATTATTATTATTATTATTATTATTATTATTATTATTATTATTAATAATTAATAAAGGATACTAAAAGGTTGTATTATTCCGAATGAGATTCAAATTTTTTTCTCTTTTTATTTTTAACCAAATAATCTTTACGGTTTTTCCCGGTTTTTTTAATTAGAAAAAACGGCGACGAATTACCATCTTTGTTGCTACTATTACTATTACTATTATTATTATTATTATTAATATTATTATCAATATTTTTTTCTTTTAATTTTTTCAATAAAATATTTTTATTTTTTAAATTGATTAATTTTCTATTTTCCATTATTTTACCCGCGGTATTATTATTATTAATATTATTCGAAACGGGTAAAGACGACGATGTGGATTCGAAAAAAAAATCCCTCGTCGAATCATCTCCGCCATCTTCTTTGTTTTTTATAGTTTGTAATTTATAATGTGTTTCTTTTTTAGTTATCAATCCGTGTGCCATAGATCTATTTAATGCCCTTTGAACTCTCGTTGATATTTCCAACGGATTTAAATTTAATATTCTAGAAATGAAATTAATTATGTCATCTGTGGTTGAACTTGAATTTTCCAAATTGTTTATAGCCAAAATAACAAGTTCGGAAGGTGTGGGTGGCAAATCTTCTGTTTCCGAATTCATTTCTCCCTCCTCGTAATTATCCATTTCATACCTGACTGACACTCTTTTGATACCTTCTTTTACCACTTTTTAATTTTCAAAAAAAAAAAATAATGATAATAATAAATAATTTCCAAAAAAAAAAAAAAAAATTGTAAACAATAATATTTAAAAAATTTAGTTGTTTTGAATTTTAAAAAAAATAAAACAAAGTGTTTTTAATTTTTTTTTTTTTACGGTTGGTACCACTGCATTCGTAAATATATATATTATTATTATTATTATTAAATAAAGGCCGAATTTACGATGGAAAAAGGTTAAAAACATTTTTAAGGAGGTTTTATTTTATTTAAACTAATTAATGAATGCAAGGCGAGAGATTTTAATAATAATTAATTTTTTTTTTCCGGGGGGAAGGAGGAGACCTACACGGTAGTTCCCTTAATAATAATAATTTTTTTTTATTTAAATTAGTAAATGTATTCCCCACCCCCTTCGTCGTTCGTTAAATAAATAAAAAAAATTTTTTTATAAACGCGTAAACTCCGTTTTTATCCGTCGACGCCAATTTAAATATTTTTCTGCAGCATTGACGTAATTGTTATTATTATTATCATCATCGACGTTATTTTAAATGTGAATATTTTGTGGAGGTCATAAATCCAATTTTAATTTATGTATCCGCAATAATTAATTAATAATAATAATAATGATTTGATATTTATTGATTTTACTAAAAAAAAAAAAAAAATTTTTTTTAAAATATAAATTTTCCGATTTTCATTTTGATTTTATTTAATTTTATTTAATAAATAAATAAATAAAAATAAAAATTATTGATTTTCGATCATTATTATTATTTATTAATTCAATTCATTTCGATTCAAAAATTATTTATTATTATTATTATTAATAAATAAAAAAAATAATAATAATAAATTTTTTTAAAATTTTTTTTGTAGAGAATAAATTAATAAAAACGTTTTTGACGTTTGAAATTTTTGAATACATTATTATTATTATTATTATTATTTTTTAATTAATTAATTAATTAATTGTAAACAAAATAAGATTAAATTAAATAATTGTTAATTATTAATTAATAACTTATTTTCATATTTATATAATGATAAATCTCCTTGTGTTTGACGTCATCACACATACATGTTTAAAAAAAAGAAACAAAAACAAAATTAAAAATGTATTACGTCATCACTAATAATAAGTACTCCATCATCATCATCATCATCATCATCATCATTATTATTATTATTATTTAAGGAAAATCTAAAACAATGTTTTACTGACCGATAAAATTTTAACGATTTTCACTAATCATTTTCTATTTGAAAACATCTTTTTTCTCTCTCTCACTCTCACATTCTCTTTCTCTCTCTCTCTTTAAATATTATTTATTACTAGAAAATTCTCTAATAATAATAATAATAATAATAATCTAATAATTTTGTAGCCAATAAAATTAAAAGAAACGATGGTTGGGGGAGAAAAATAAAAATGAAATCGATACAGCATTTATTGTATCTTTTTTTTCTTCTTCTTCGTGGTTACGTCATAAAGTTACGTCATGTACATTTATTGTTACGTCACATTTATGAAAAAATTTCATTTGTTTTATTATTATTCTTTTTTAAAGAGTACCACGTAAGTTATTTAAAAAAGTTTTCGAACTGCGAATAATAATAATAATAATAATAATAATAATAATAATAATAATAATAATAATAATAATAATAATAATAATAATAATTAAAAAAATGGTTTTTTCTTCGCGCGCCATTTTGATTACGAAAAAAAAAAAAAAAAGTTATGTAAACTTATAAAGTTTTGAATCAAATCCAACGTTAAAAGGACTTTTTTACTTAGTAACTAAATAAATTTTATATTTTTTGGCATTTTACTTGAAATTTCTCTCGTTTCCTTCCTCCCTCCTCTCCCCGGCATTGTTTTACACGCGTTTTAACGCATTTTTTAACGCAACCCGCGCACGCATACACAATCCCGTTATTCTTCTTACATATTTAACATTTTTAAACTTATTTTTTTAAATAATAATAACAATAAATAATTTTACCTTATTTTAAAAAAAAAAATATATATATGTTTGTATAAATGAATAAATAAATGATAAAAAGTAATAGTAATAATAATAATGATAATAATAATAATAATATTAAAAAAAGGCGAGGTAAATTGTGAAAATATTTTTTTTAAAAAAAAAAAAAAGGGAAAAAAAACATAAAATTTTATTTTCTATTTTCCGACCGCTGAGATTTTTTTTTAGTAAAAATGTTTTTAGGCCTCAGATGTTCTCATATTCAGAATTCCAGGCAATTTATTTCCTTTATTACGTTCAGATAATTTGAGCCTTCCAACTTTCGCTTTTTCTCTTTCTGGTGCGTTCCTTTTTCATAAATTTAAAAACCAGTGGAACAAAAAAGTCGAACGAACAATGTTCGGGTGGAATTGTTTGGAGAGATGGGATGGGAGGGGAGAGAGAGAGAGAGAAAGAGAGAAATAAGAGAAAATCCATGGAGAAAAATAAAATAAAAAAGAGAAAAAGATGTGGGGAAGGGGGGAGAAAGGGGGGGGAAGGAAAAAAGAATGAAAATAAAAGAGATTTTAAAACAAAGTTTTTTAACTGAGGATCTCTTGAAGTCAATTATAAAAAAAAACTTTTTTTACTTGTGGACTCGTCAAAGCAAAAAACACAAAAAAAACTTTGGAGAATTTTTTTTTTCCAGTTAAAATAAAAAAAGAGAATTTTGGGATTGTTTTAAGCACCATCACCACCACCACCGGCAGCAGCACCAGCAGCAGCATCTGGAGGCCAGTTCAAAAGATTATCTCGTAAATGGTAATTACTTTAAAACAGAAAAAAAACCGCAGGTAAAATTCTGACTAAAATTTTAATTAGCTAAATATTTACCCCCGTGTTTATAAATTTTTTTTTTTTAACCATTATATAAATTATTATTATTATTTTATATTTTTTATCTTTTCGATTTGTTTAAAATTAAATGTTTTCGTTTTTTTTTTCACGTCGTCTGATTTTTTTTTTTTTTTTTATTAAAAAGGTAAAAATTACACTTGAGACCCATATATGAGTCCCATGTTTACTCTATAATCTCGAAATCATTTCCGCTTTTCTCACTCGTCCCAACTTCCTCTTTTAAAATTTTTTTACTACTTTATCGAATTTCAATTTTTCTATTGACACGTTATTATTAACCTCAGCCTAAAATTCTTATTATTATTACAAACAATTCATTTGTTTCATCATGACTAACGTAAATTTATCATTTTTTATTCTCGACAAACAAAACAAAAAAAAAAAAAAAAAAACTTTAAACATCTGTTTTTTGGATCTAACGCATCATTAATCGTAAATTTTTTTTTACAACAACAAGACTTAATATGTACCGACATTGTTTGTTTGTTTGTTTGTTTTCAAAAAAGAATCGATACGACGATAAATTTCTGATTATTATCAATTCTTTTGTTGTTAATTTTATTATAAATAAATAAAAAAATTTTTTCACCGTCGTCCATTTCCGTTTCAAGGTTTTCCACACCGGATTATTTAAAAATGAATTATATTATTATTATTATTATTATTATTATTATTATTATTATTATTATTATTATTATTATTATTATTATTATTATTATTATGTCTAATAAATAATATTTTAAATTATAAGAAATTGTTCATATTGAAAATAAGAATATTAAATCAGATGATAAACGATGGATTTTATATAATAAAAAAAAAAGAAAACTCAATAATTTTCTCTTATAGATATATAAATCTTGATTTAAAATCATTAAAATTTGATATTTTTTTCTCTCTTCCCAATCGAAGAAACCGACATTCCCCCCCCAACAATTTTGTAAAAAAATTATAATTATATAACAAATTTAAAAAAAAAAAAAAAAAGATTCACACTCATATTTTTTTGTGGGGGGGTCAAAAATTAATCAACTGTCATCGACAAAAAAAAAAAGATTTCCTTAATGTCTTTTTTTTCCCTTCCCCTCCCCCCAAATCACCTGATTTATCATTAATTTATTATTTGTGACGTCATTAACCTTTAACCTTATCCTACGCGTGATTAACGAAACGAAAAACTTTTTTCTTTCTCCCCCATCATTCGTCATTAATTAATTAATTAAATAAAATAAAAAATTTCATTTTTATATTATAAAATCCATTAAATACGTCACACGAATGACGTCATATATATATATTATAAAAAACCGCGTTCGAATACATATATTTATTATATAAATATAAATATAAAAAAAAAATTGAAAAACAATAAAAAAAAAAAGCAACAAGTAAAGGCTGATATAAAATTCATTTTGTTCATCTTGTTATCAAAAAAAATAAACATTTTATCCAATTTCACGAGATTAGGGGGGAGACGGGGGGATTCATGAGTTTATTTTTTACAAAGGCCTGGAGGGTTGAAAAAAAAAAGATGGAAGTGTATGGAAAACTTTTTTTTCCTTTTTTCTTTTTCTTTTCTATTTTCTTTTTTTTTCTTCTTCTTAAATCCTCCCCCCTTCTTTTACCCCCCCCCCCCCAAAAAAAAAAAAGAAAATTAATTTGCATTCTATATTCATTATTTTCGTATTTAGATAAAATGCATTAAAATTGAAAGAAAAAGTTTTTAAATGAATAAAATCTATAACTTTAGGGTGGCGGTGGCGGTGGTGGGGGGGTGATTGTAGAAATGAAGGGTAATAAGAAGGGAGAGGGGGGGGCGTGGAGGCGGGGGAGACAAAGTAATTTTGAAAATCAACCCTCTCAACTTTTCCCATTTAAATTACATGAAGTTTATTTAACAAAACGAAACGAACAATCGTAAACGTTTAAAATTTAAACAACAGCATGAGAAAAAAAATTAAAAAAAAAAAAAAACGCGCGCCTAAAATTTTTCCCGACTTTTTTTTTTTTTAATTTAATCATAAAATTACTTAATTAATTTTTTTTTTTTTTCCAATTTTTATGGGAAAGTTTA